TTACATTGAACCTTATGGGAAAATTTGATTCGGCTCGCGACCAGAATAGTGGAACGAATTAAGTTCGTGAACCGAGGTACCACTGTATACATATATTTGCTTTTAAAGGGCAAAGCAAAATTGGGCACAGGTAAGAATGTTCCCCCGTTATACAACACTTATTTATATGAAACTCACCATCATTTTATTGTTGTTAAAGGATCCCTCATAATACAACCCGAACTGTGTGACCACAACACCATTGCCTTGGCAAAGATCATCGTGCCACATCCCCATGTATTTTTCTCCCCTGAAGATACAGAAAGGCATTACTGTTTCTAAAATCTGAGAAATGTATTTGAGAAATCAGATTAATTGGATCAGATGACATTCTAATTTAAGTAACATCCCATTATAGTTGAGTGTTTGCTTCAGCAATTACTAGGATCACATCAGGAATCTGTTACCATCTTCTCAGACTAAAAAATTTTATTAGAAAGCACAGGCTTTCATGAACTACAGCTCATTTCATCAGACACATGGAGTAGCTGTTTTGTTTTTGTTTAAGCAATTTCCAAGTTAGGAAAAATAAATGCATATTCTGAAGTTGTTTGCATCAATATAGCTATTGGCAAATGACAGTTTCATAAATTATAGTGTGGTTTAGTGTAAAATGCAGATGCAGAATCACCTACAGCTTGCAGGTCAAGCCACTCAAATGCATTATTAGTAAGTTACAACCCATGTTGGATTATGACACTGCACTTTCTCAGACATATAGGTTGTTTGCATACATACAATCACTCAACCTGAGGCAAATCCTCAGGAGCAACAAGAAACAACAGAACAATGATGCCAACGTGGGAACCGCACCCTGCAACAAACCTTGATATCTACTTCCACATTTACACCCATAGCACCATCATTGGCCCAACAACTTCACACACAAGATTAGAGAAAGAGAGTGTGAAGGGACCTCTAATGTGATATATACCATCAACTGCCAGCTATGTTCCTCTGGATTCTATGTAGGACAAATAACTGAGATTTTGCACAGAAGAATTAAATGGACACAAGTTTAATTTCAGGACACAAAATAAAGGCAAAGTAATATCAGAACATTTCATCCTCTTAGGACACCCCATTATAGATCTCAAGACTAACTATTTTGGAACAAACGAACTTTACCAGCACTACTGAGCGACAGATGGAACTCATGTACATCAAAAAGTATCAGATGATAATGATGATGCTATTTTTATCTCACCTTTTTTATGTATAACTCAAGGCAGTGAACATACCTAATACTCAGGTACGTACTAATACTAATGCTGTCTCAGAAGATCTCAACAAACAGAATAGACTTTTAATGTAATTTTTAATTGATAAAATATTTGCAATTTGTCTCACTTGTAACCTGCATCTGCATAGCCAACCTGTCTTCTCTTCCCTCCCCTCCACCTCACCCAAATTTAAATCCTACATCAGTCTAGCCACTCTATGCAGCTGATGAAGTAAGCTGTAGTTCACAAAAGCTTATGCCTTTTAATAAACTGCGTTAGTCTGAAAAGGTGCCATCTGACTCCTGAGCATAGATTAACATGGTTCTCTTCCTACAATGTGTTGGATCTCATCAGAAATTTCTCATGAAACAGGAGAGCATAAACAATGTACATCTGAATGACATTTTAAAAATCTTTTCAGAAAATTAAATATATCTGGTAGACTCTACTGTATCTGCACATTACACTAAACCACACCAAAATTTGTGAAACTGTCATCTGTCAATAAGCATGTATATACATATACACACCCTTATCATTATAATATGCATTTGTTTTTCCTAATTTGGAGATGGTTTAAATTTTTTATTTTTATTTTATTTATATGGCAGCCTATCTCTACCAAGTGATTCTTGGTGGCTAACAACAATTAAAAACCAGCAAAAATCACTAAAAAAATATACATAATTGATAGCCAAGATAAAGACAACTATCAGTACTTCATAGATTCCAACTGACACTCTGACCCCCACACCTGGAAACAAAGCCATATCTTCAGGGCCTTGCAAAAGTCCAACAGGGTCAGGACCTATTTGATCTTCAGGGGAGGGGTGATGTTCCACAGGGCAGGGGCTATGACAAAAAGAGCTCTCTCCCTCATCCCTCAAGATGGCAATCTTTAATGGATGGGACCCATAGCATGCCTCTCCTGCCAGATCTCATGAGAGAGGTGGTCTCACAAATTACCTGGCTCCATGCCATGAAGTGTTTTATAGGTGACCACCGGCATCTTGAACTGAACCCAGAAGCATATTAGCAACCAATCCAGCTCATGGACCAGAGGTATAACACGCACAGATTGAAAAGCACCCATAATTGCCTGCACTGCTGCATTGTGTAGTGGCTGCAGCTTCCAAATGATCTTCAAGGGCAGCCCCATTTAGATCCCATTGTAATAGTCCACCCAGGAGGTGTCTGTGGTATGAGTGACCATGGGCAGAGCCTCTTGATCCAAGAAAGGGCACAACTGACATACAACCCAAAGCTACACAAAAGCCCTCCTGGCCACGGCTGCCACCTGTTCCTTGAACAGGAGCTGTGAGTCCAGGAGGGCCTCCATTCACTCACCAATTCCGTTTAGGACAGTGTAGTGCAAACCCCATCTAGAACAAGAGATGGCAAATCCTTGAAACTGGAGTGCCCTAAAACCCAAAGCCACTCAGTCTTGCTACAGTTGAGTTGAAGCCTGTTCTGTCCGATCCAAAACCCCACAGCTTCCAGACAACGAGACAGAACCTCCACTGCATTACTTGGTTGGGTTGGGGTGGAGATATAAAACTGGGTATCACTGGCATATTGATGATATCTCACCCTGTGCTATTGGATGAGCTCACTCAGTGGCTTCATGTAGATGTTAAATGGGAGTGAGGAGAGTGTGTAATCTTGTGGCACCCTGCTTTATAGACCTGCGAATGGTTGCTGTATGAGGCAGTTGCTAAATGAGGACTACCTGTAATGCATATTTTTCTATACTTGAAATCTTATTATACTTGAATAATATTGCAAAATCTGAGAAAAAAATGAAAATACTGGAGTTTTGGTTCATACAAGTTAGGTATACTGTGAACTATGTTTTTGCACTCTTAAATACGTGACTGGTGATTAGTTGTCTTATGCACACTAAATGTCACGACATCACTGATATTTTATTTAAATGAACTAGAAATGCAAGCACTGTATCTCATTTAGAGGGTTATATAGATTCTCTGCCTAAGAATAAACATTTCTTAGCAGTTATTTGTCCTGGTACTATATTACTAATATAGTAATTCAAATGTTCAGGATCTATTTACCTTGTAATATCATCAAATACTCCATATCCAACCTTCTTATCCATCACCCACTGGCCAATGAACATACTAGGTGAGGAAGAAGTCAGTTTCCCACTGCGCAGAAGGCCATGGCCGTGACGCATGTTATCCTGGAAGCTTCCTTCATAAACCTCCCCAGTTGCGTACCTAGAAGAAGAACAAGTCTGCCTTACTACAAAGAAACTGAGGATTTTGCTCAAAGATATTTCACCATCTTAATGTTTTTCTCTTTCTTACTGACAAAGAGAGATGAATGTGGGCAATACCATTTTGACAGGAATGTGGAAACTTAGATTATGAGATTAAGGAAAATATTTTTGGCAATGGGTATTCCCACTATCATGGCACTTACCAGAAATCTGGTCTGTTTTGTTACAAGTAGCAATTCTGTATCAAAACAGTGTGAAAGTCTGTGTACTCCCTGCTCCCTATGTAAAACAATGTGGAACTGGCATGTAGATTGTTAGGTGGTGGATTAGAACCTGGATCTTCCTGCTCTTAGTCCAAAAATGTAACAACATCATACATTCTCATTCTTTCTTTCTCTCTCTCACCTGTAGATACCATGTCCACACATTTTGCCTTCCTTCCAAAATCCAATATAGTGGTCACTCTTGTTCAGTGTTTTATTTGGTACTTTATATTCACCATATCTGCCAATATAAAAAATCATAGCATTTTACAATACATCTAAATACTAATTTGCACAACTGTGTATGCTTCAAAAATGATTTGGAAGGCATGCTTTGGATTTCATGTAAGCATAGCATTCTCTGCTATTCATTAAGCACTCAAGCTTTCTCATGAGCCTAAAACACGACTCTACTGTTTTAAGGTATTCTCATAAAGCCTTTCTGCTTTTGTGAAAGTCTGAAAAGTTGAGCTTCTCCACCAAATAGAAAAGTGGTGCTATGCTTACACAGGGTCCAACTCCCTGCCTCCAAATAATTTTTAAGCCTGCCCAGCCCTATTAACCCTAGTTTGACAGTAATTCTTTAAAAAGATTATTACTGAACAGATTTCTCTTCCCCAGCTCAGCCTGTTGTACCTACCCATCTTCCATGCCGTTTCTGAACATGCCAGAATACATCTTTCCGTCTGCCCACTTCAAGACTCCTCTGAAATATATGCAACATTATAATTAGTTTAGTCCTAATTAATATATTTGCATTATCATAATACAGTTTATGCAGGATTTTTACAACGTCCAAAAGTTACTTTTAGAGCTTAGGGTTATGATGATAAAAGCTAAGTGGCTTTCAGTATATGTTACTGTGTCTATTTCAACTTAAATATTGTTTTTTACATCAACCTCTTTACTTGGGACCTATTATAAACATTTAGATAAACAGAATGTCTTCTCATATATTGGGGTCTAACAATGACAACATTTTAGCTTCACCTGCCATGTGGCTTCCCAGAAAGCCATCGACCATTGTAAGCAGCATCCTTAAGTCGAGGGTCTTTGTAGAAGGTGTATTTGGCGCTCCTTGAAATAGGGGGCTCTTGCCTCTGGAGGCTTCCGCTGCCTCCATAGGGAGGCAAGTCAGACGTCCCTTTTAAGGCCTGATCCACAGCTTGGCTTATAGATCTCAGCCATTTAGTCTGAAACACAGTGAAAAGTAGTCAGAGGGCTTCTGATCCCTGCATTCCTCTTCTCTTGTTCCTCATCTGTTGCAGGAATTCCTTGGAACTGGCATGACAGATCTACTGATGTCATGGAATTAATACATAACAACAATGGTGGACTGTTGCATGTGGTCATTCCAGCACTTTTACTCCTTTTAAAAATCAGAATTGAACTTTAACATCTACCAGTTACACAGGTCCAATATACAACAATATCACAGACATTTCTTCTTCAACAAATAATATAGCCACTAACATATTGTAATGTAATTTGTGAAGCTCCTGGCCTATACAGTATGGGTTCAGCCCAGCTGTGAGTTGCAAGTTACCAGTTTAAAATAAATGCTGAGGGATAGGCAACATATGGTTACCTAACTTAGCAGTTATGAAAGTACATAGGCTCAAGCCACTGAAATTGTCAATTTTCAATAGCATACTTTCTGTCCCCCTTGTTTTAAAAGTTAAGGGATAAAATAGACATGCTTAATCTTCAATAGGTTCAGCAAACTTATTTTGCCTTTAACCACCAGAAGATTAAAAAAATAGTTATGATGACTGTCTGAAGACATAATTTCATCACTACCACACTGTTGGAGATCCCCCTCCCCCAAAAATGTTGAAAGAGGCAAGATCCCTGCTTGCTAAGAGGTTGCCTCTCCTGATCTTATCAAGACTGGATGCTGGATGTTTAGACTGTACATGGATTCTAGAGGAAATCTACATGATACAATGATTTTTATTATGTTGGTATGAAATAAACACAGATCATAAATACATACTTTATACCAATTTCAAAGGAAGGAACAGATAAAATATAGGATGGCTCTAGAAAGCAAGTCATGCTGGACCACGGAAAAGTCATTAATGCATCTGGAGAACAGAATGGAAGGAAGGGGCAAGAAAGGCCCTACCTTTTCTTGTGGAGTTGATGAAATGAGAATAAACTGTTCTTCAGGTGTAGTGATTCTCAAGCCATTCCTAGTGCAGAGAAAATAAACAAAGAGTTTTGTAAATTTTAATCCAGAGAAATGAGCTACACTAAATTGTTTTCATATTTAAAAACCCAAGACTCATTTGTTCTCCCTCTTGTTCTTCAGGTCACTGTAATTAATGCATACTAAATTACCCAAGGGACGAATTATTAGCCTCACATATTAAACGTTATAATCTTTCTTCCAGCATCTAATTAAAGTAAAAATGTACTCCTTTGACCAAATATCAAATATAGCAACTTGGACTTGGTGGTTTAACTACGGTATTTTTATTCCAGGAAGACACCAGATGGAGAATAATTCTGCAACAGTGAAGAACTACACAGCCAACCTATTCTACTTCATTTCAGAATTCCTAGAGGAAGGCAAGATGCAGGATTCCTTCCTCTCCACCCCACATCTGCTCCACAGCACTACTAACATTTGTTCTGTGTGAATGATCTTAGATTTCTATTATTGTTATTAAAAATATATATATTATTGATTTTGTCTTCATCATTGCTTGTTTTGACTGACAGGATTTGCATCCTGAAAAGCAAGGTGCAATAAATAAATAATTTTCTACTTAAACAACTGCATGAGCAACTGTTAATGAGGAATGTATGCAGTCTGCAAATAGAATGTATAAAACTAAATATGTTTACATCAGAAGTATACATTAGACTGTTTCATAGATTCAGCACATTTACACATAGAGGCCCATATTAAGAGTTGTTGTGTCAATTGACACAAGCCTAAAAAGGGCCAAATCCAGAACTGTAAGAGTTTAAATTCTATTATGAGCCTGAAAGCAGGTTCAAGAGCAAACAGGGATGGACCATGAAATAAGTTTTAAAAGAACCAATAATCTATTAACCAGTCCAAACTGAATATGAGAGACAGCTGAAAAACACTTACGTATTACCAGACTCTTCTGAAACAGGTTCTACCCACAGGGTAGACAAGGAAAAAATATGATGAGTTGAGAACTATAACCAAAATGAAATAGAGAAACAGTCAGTCTTCATATTATGATTATGTCCATTATATAAGGTCCAGTCCATGGCCTCTGCTTTGGGCACTGGCTTCCAATAAGTTTCTGGGTGCAACGCAAGGTGCTGGTTGTTACCTATAAAACCCTTCATGGCATGGGGCCAGGATGCCTGAAGGACTGCTTCTTCTTGCATCTGGTAGGGAAGCATGCTCTGGGTCCCTTCGGCTGAGGAACACCATCTAACGGGACCCAAGAAGCGTGTCTTTTCAGTTGCGGTACCTTCCCACCTGGAACACCGTCCCACCTGAGATTAGACTATCCCCGCGCCACTGGAAAGCAACCAAGGCCTGGCTGGCTGCTCAGACATGTGGGTTAGAAAGTTGTTCATAATAATAACGAACATAATAATGTTCATATTAACCCAGGTGGTTAATAATTGTACTGAGGCTTTATTCTCAGCTGCCACTTCATTTTTAAAGTTTCTTTTGGAGATTGCATGTTGTTTCTGAAGTATTTTTTATTGTTGCTTCAATTTTAAATTTTGTCTGTCACCCAGAATCGCTCAGGCAAGAGGGCCAGCCATATTAAACAAACAAACTCCAATCCGACTGTGACATCCTTCTGTTCAAGCTGCATTGCAACCTGTAACCATATCTGTACAAAGAAAAATGGTGAGTGCTATGATCCATAATTCAGCGATATACTCTGCTCTCAACATGCTTGATTAATAGGAAGTGACAAAGATTGGAAGAAGCAGAAGTAGTATTTGGCTTCTCTTTTGTGGTAACTATCTTACTCACAATTTAGAAGGTCTGAAAAACTGGACTGGATGATAAAAAGCATTCGGAGGGAAGAAAGGGAGGGAAGGGAAAAAAACTATTTTTGAACTATTCAAAACTGATATACTAGCATATATTCAATTTTATATTATCCCAGACAATAGAGAAATCTAACCACGTACCAGGCACAATAATCTTAGTGACAACACAGAGGACCTTCAACTGCTTTCCTATATGTTCTTCTGAAGCTATTGAATATTCCCCTATTGGGGATATGGGTATATCTACCCGTCCCATCAGGTCTGGCAGGAGGGGCATGTTGCAGGTCCCATCTGCTAAGGAGCTTCACCTAGCGGGTAGGAGGAGAGCCTTTTCCGGTGCACCCCCCACCCTTTGGAACACTGTTCCACCCCAAGGTGAGATCGGCCCTGACTTTACTGACCTTCTGGAAGACCCTTAAAACCTGGTTTTGTCATTGGGCCTGGGGATGCCATGGAATTATGGAGCCTGGAAAATGGTTATACTGTTTGTAAGTTTTGGAATGCACTCTCCTATGTTTTTGTTTTATTATAGTTTTAACTATTTTAATGGCTTTGTTATTTTAATTGTCTTGATTGTTGGCCTTTGTTATTTTAATTGTGTGCACTGCCCAGAGTCACATATGTGAGATGGGTGACTATACTGTATAAATGTAATAAATAAATAAACATGCTTTTAATTTGAAAGCTTCCTTGTCCTATAAACAGATGACTGTCATTGCCCCATCCAGGAAGAACAGACCTGAGCATGGACCAAGGCATCATTGAAGAGGATAAACCAATTCACTGAAAATCTCCCAGCATGTTGCAGGGACAATCCTCGGTTGCTGCTTTCACAGATTAGTCGCCGTTCAGGTTTCCTCAAGGAGTCCTATAATTGGAAAGAAATACAAGACAATTTAATAACAGCTAAGGTCATTCACAATAGGAATTTGCAATGTACTGCTGGTAGAGTCTGAATTTATTTGCATTTAAACAATATATATTGAAAGGGCCAAATCCGAATTAACTTGAGATATTTTCTAAAACTGGAAGAACTGTCATCATGAAAGTAGAAATAGAAAGTATTAAAACTTTACACTCCGCTTGTGCTATTAAAGAATACAGTCAGTTCCTAATATAACAACCATATTAATATACCGTCATTTTCCCAGGAAAAGTTTTCCAGAAACCCAGTGTGTATTCAGCTTCTTTTCTTTTCCTACTGAGATAGACAGCCAGGGTTTCATAAGAAGAGCTGGAATCCTGAAGGCTTTGATATTCTGGAGATGTCTACAGAGAAAAAGAAAGACTGGTGACTGACTAGTGTTCCACAGGGCCATCCCAACATTTTAATATAATTACTTCATACTGCAATATTAGGAAAAACTGCATTTAATACATTAATGAAGTGAGAACAGCTGGATGAATAAATTTGCTTTCCCTAGTACTGGGGGTATACTGACATATTAGGAATCTTAATGAAAGACTTTCAATCTCTAAAGCCAGAATGTTGGCAGTACAGTGGTACCTATACTTACAAACTTAATCCGTTCCGTGACTCTGATCGCAAGTCGAGTTGGTCACAAGTCGAAGTAAATTT